CCGCGTGGGTGACCTGTGGAGAGAGCCAGCCTGTGGTGGGGGTGGCGCCGCGGGATCAGCCCGGCTCGGTACCCAGGCCCCAGGGCGGCGGCCTACCAGGAAGCGGAGCTGCTGCAGGCTAAATGCTGGCGTCTGGTCGATGTGGTCCACCAGGCGGCCGGGGGTGGCCACGACAATGTCAGCCAGGCAGCGGTAGCCATCGGGTCTATGAGCCAGAGGAGGAAGCTGTTCCAGGGGCCGCAACCCAGGAAGCTGGCAGGGAGCGGCCCTTCCAGCTCCCACCGGGCAGTGGGCCAAAGCGGGCTGCTGCACAGGCCTCGGCCTGCCTGAGGGCCGCAGGGCCCTCCTGCAAAGCAGAGCTCACGTTTTCTGCACAAGGCTCTCTTGCTCCTTGGCCAGCGGCTTCTGTCCAGTAAGCAGGGCGACCCGCAGAGGTGTGGCATCAGTATAAACGTTGAACACTTTGCTCACCTGAAAAGGAATCTGTCACCAGGCTGTGGTAGCTGCTGTGCCCCCACTACGCGGGCCAGGGTCCAGCCTGGTCACTCGGGGCCAGAGTGCTCCCAGTGGGGCAGCTGCCTTGGGCAGGGTCCACGTGCCTGCTGGGCCAACTCCTTGGTGGGTAGCACAACCAGGGCACGGACGTGGCACACCACTCGGTGCAGCAGGGCCTGCAGGGAGGGAGGGTGCCTCGTCAGAAGAGCTGGCTTCATCCCGCTGAGCCTTGGCTGGAGGGGGCTCCACCCACCTGGACCACAGGGATGACAAAGGCCAGTGTCTTCCCGCTGCCTGTCGGGGCAGAGACACAGAGGTCGCTGGGCCGATAGCCACCTCTGCCCACCAGGAACCCATTGGCCGCGCTCTCGAGGACGACGGGGATCACAGCTGCCTGGACTAGACCGGGAAGGAGAAGGGCCGTCACATCAGGTCCGTCTGTGGCCGTGGGCTGGGCCCCAGCCCTGCGGCTGGCACTGCCCTGGGTGTGGAGTGCCCCATCCGCTTGCCCCAGGACACCTGGGAAGTAGGATGAGATGCCATGTGCCCGGAGCTGCTTCTGCAGGTCAGGGTGGACCTCAGGGATGTTCTCGATAGGAACAAGGTCTGCAGTCACGTTTTTCTTGACACGGCGTGGCTCTGCCAGCCACCTCGGTAGGAAAGGCTGCACCTGCTGCAGGAGGGTGAGACCAGGACATAGTCCAGAGCCCTCAGAAGGCTCAAGCCAAGGAGGGCAGGAAGAGGAGCCTTCTGTTAGAAAGCTTTGACTCCCCCGGTCTGCTTTCCTGGTAGTCTCGGATGTTAGAAGACGCAGCAGATGCCACCCCCTGAAGCAACGTCACCAGGATGACCTGACACTGCACTGCCCCAGGAGGTCCTCTGTGGCCTGTCCCAGTCTAGCGTCCCAGTCTAGCGTCCCAGCACTCGCTCCACACTAGCCTGAACCAGAGGTTCTGCCCAAAGTTCGCCCGGCTCCAGGCCTCCACCCTGCTCTGCCCTCTCCCGGTGATGGCCTGGTTGGCCCTTTGCACATCTTCCATTCCCAGCTCAGAAGGGAACTTTCACACGGCCTCGCCTGCATCCTGCCAGACGGTTTTTATTCCAGATGGTCACTTCCCAAGGTCCACGTGCCTCCTTGGTTAGCTGAAAACCTCCCCCAACACAAAGCACAGGGTGAGAAACGTGAAAGGCCTCCGTTTTGCTAGAGAGATTGGTGAGCGCAGAAAGAACCTCAGGAAGCCGCGTTGGGGGGCCGGTTGGCACAAGCCGCCCTAGAGCAGGTAAGGAGGTTTCGCCGCGGGAGACAAAAGCCCCGCGATGGCGCAGTCCTAGCCCCAGGGTGGCAAGCGCAG